TATATATATATATATATATATATATATATATATATATATATATATATATATATATATATATATATACACTTTATACATATCTTATATACTTATAAGATTATATTAATATCTCATAAATCATACAAATGCATGTAAGAAATAATAACAGATTCAGAAAAACCAAATTAATGGAACATCTGAAATCCATATAAGGAGAGAAATTAAATTAAAAAAGTAATGAAAAGTTACATTGCTAAAGACTCAGAGTTATGATATACAATTGACATACCTTAGTGCTGGGAATATAGTGAACGTAGGCTGCAATTCGTTTATTCTTTTCAGTACTTCTTGATCCCTGAGTAGACTGTCGCATGCTTCTATTGCACGCTTCTCTGCACTGTGTGCTGGTTTATTATTATTAATGTTCAATTGTAACACTTCAACATCGATTAGATTGTTGTAAAGCTCATTAGCTGTATAAGTTGATACTACCAATGTTGTGTCGATCCCCTGATCTGATAAGGTATTGGCAAGTAAAGACAAATCATACACATTTTCAAATGCGACTATTAAAGCTGATAGAGGTGGTGCTGTCAAGATAGAGCCACTTGTAAACCCAAATAAGTAAAAACATAAAGTAATTGGCACCAACATCATAGCTCTAATTAAAATAAACTTTTACTTGCACTCCAATACACAAATTGTAAATTTTAAATGTATCTTTCTTTGTCTCTTTCTGTCTTCCTTTCTTGACAGAATTAGGCATGAAATTTCAGTCTGACTTTATCAATTGTCAAAATATTGTTTTTTCATCAAATATATCTTCACGAAATATATCTTCATGAAATTGTACAAATTCTCTCTACATATGTACTGGAAAAGTGACGATAATATAAATATATAAATATTTGTATGTGGAGAAGTGCTACACTTAAGTTGATGTAAATCCAACGAATAAAACCTGAAAAGAAAATTATAAACATTACTTGTAAGCAATTCAACAACTAGAAGACTGTAAAACCATTCAAATCTCTCGACATTCATAGTACTCTTAAATAAAATATTTTTGAAGAGAAGTGCATCATCTTCTACAATATAGAAAAAACAATTTTCACTTACTGTTTTTTAAAATCCTCAATGTCCAAATAAAATTTTATACCCAGTAATAAATATATTCATATAAATGATTTGTCTACAATTTGTGCATGACTATTGACATAATCGTTGCTATGTGTATGTGTTAATGATATTGTTTCAGACTTGTCAAGTATTTCGATAATCTAAAAATTTATCTAAACGTTCCTCTCGTGCACTCTCGTGCAGCTGTAGTCCAACGTCTCAATCAAACCGGACTAAGATTTATTGAAAACCCATCGCCATCCGCAACTTTCTGTTATTCCCAACGTCGGCACTCATCATACGCAGCAAGCGTCGTGTCGCGCGTATGAATAATCGCGTTGACGCAGAACCGCCGTGAGATGTCCAAGTGCATTTGGAGCGAGCGCGTAATACCCACACTCGTCTCTCTCTCGTAACGGACAGTGAAAATAACACTCGATAAATCGATGTCCGACGTTGTTTTTCGTCGAAAAGTCAGTGGCCTCTTCGATATTGTTAAATCAAATTCTTGCTCTTTGAGTTATTTTCAATGTTATGTCAAATTGTTTATGAGCAACTATGTGACAAATGTAAATATAAACACACGCATGAGAAAATACTTTACTCGAATTGTAATCTTAAAAAAAAAAAGAATTTAGTCTTCTTAGATTTTTATTTATTAGTAATCTAATCTATTGTCGAATCAGGACAGCGCAGTATTTGGTTTTATAAATAAAAATTTTAGTTTATCACAGAATCATTGTCCAGTTGATTCAACGAAAATAAATCGTCTGATTTGTCATGAAGGTATACTACTTCCTTGATTCTTCAGTAGACAGTAGCGGCTCGTAGCGGAGACTTTGGAACTAATAAAAATAACGGGTTTAATAATTATAAGGAGTCAAATTATCATATTCATATATTATAAGGAATTAGGTTTTATATTCGATAAAATTTATTTAATAACTAAAAACTTCAAAATTATTTCCGAAGCGTGTCCTTATCATTTTTTTTACAAAATCTACATTGAATTGAACTTTGTATAGCTTTCGTAATTGAAAAAAGCAATTCTTTCATTTTCATCTAGTGTACTAGAATAGATCTCTTCTTTCTATCCAAGTTACAATATCTTCCTTTCATTTTAATTTTTTTCTTTATTTAATCTATTTTTTTCTTTAATTAATCTAGTAATCATTCGGCGTTTATAGATGTTGAATTATATCATCAAAAGATGAAAATTCAAGTGGGATATGATGCAAAACAATCTAAATGAAACATAAGTATGCTATAATTTTAATATCGACTTTATTAGTTTTTGCTTTTGTTTTTATGGAAACAGTACCATTTGTCGGGAAACTCGTATACGTCTGCGAGATTGTCGTTAATGCACGAAATATGCCAGAAATTGGAGTTCTTCTGGGCATGCGGTATAAAGTTGAACGGTGGTACAACTCGAAACTTCATTCCACTCATTTTTACAAAACATTGATGCGAACACTGCCACTTCTTGAACACCTGTTGCAAGTGCTTATCATCCAGAAGATGTTTGTGCTGACGCATCAGATCCGATGATATGAACATCGCCTTCTCTCCACTCGCCAAAGTCGCATACAGTAGATATGGATCATCATTGGACCTAGAGTTTTACATTTAGCCACAGTCAGTAATAAAAAAGTTGCAATTTTTTTATCTTGATAAATTTCAGAACTCAGTATCCTATAGGAAAATATAGGTAGGAATAAACACAATAAAAATTAATTAATATAGAGGGAGATGGAGATTAATCTTTTCAAAAGTAAAATTTCTTTTCAAAAATCTTTTCAAAAATAAATTTTCGTATCGAATATCGGGATGATGCATGGAGAAATTCATATAAATAGAAAATGTTGCAACTTTCCTTTGACTGGCTACAGATATGTTTTGTGTACATGAAATTCTGTTGTAGAGATGATACACTTACAAATTGTCAGTGCAGAAGACAAACGCATTCTGTTGTATATATTTCAAAGCGGGCAGTTTCTTCTGATGTTTGCGGGTCAACACAAGCACCTTCTTCTTGCGTTTAACGAAGTACTCGACCACTTTGATTAACTACAACGTAAAACAATGAAAAAGTTACATAACAATAGAAACATCATAAAACAAAATCAACTTATGATCAATAAATTGAATAAAAATAATTAGAAAATGGTGAAACAGATAGCTTCGTGATTAATAAACTGAATAATAATAATATGAGAATAATAAAAAAAACAGAGTCACGTTGCGAACAAGATATCATTTGCCGTTACAAATTACCATTTTTGATTTCGGGACATCTTTAGATATGGCATACGTTATATTGAGCCCGTCGATCACCACATCATAAGGCTTCGTCTTCGCAACGAACTTCGTAAACTTACGCAGCTCCTGCGGATGGGACTTATGATAGATATCCGATCCTACAATTACTCTCTCCATAAAGGTATTCGCTAGTTTCTGGAAGGTCTCCCGACTGAACGACACGTCAGTCAGCTGATGAGAACATGTTTTGCATTGTCCCCTAGAATACCAAATTTAATTACAATTTCTACATGAGTTATATACATCTATTATCACTTAATATTGTAAAAATTGGCAGTTTTTCAAAGTAACCAGATCAGGCCCAGAGATATCCTAATGGCCTCCCCCAAGATTCATATACATCAAAAGTAAAGATATCTTCAAAAAAGGAATGTGTTTTTTCCTGTGTACAGCAAAGCGCTGTGCATGTGTGTAGATGATTCTAAGAGCTCACGATTTTGTAATATCCGTAGGCAGCGCAGACCAGCCGTGCTCGCCGGCGACTTTAGCGTACGTGTTTAATATTTTACTACGCGGCTGTAGTCCGGTGTCCGCCCAAAAGGTGAACATCTTCTCGAGCCTGCTGTCGAACAGCTTCGAACCACCACGCTCGCAGTATTGCAGATACGACGTGTACATGTGTGTATTCTGTGCTGCCCAATCACGAATGCTGATCTTCTGCATCGCGTCCCAGCCGATGTTGGGCTTATTGTGTTCGAAAGCTGCAGCAGCCAACGTGGAGTACACGTACTCTTTTAGCGTCGTGGTAAGCTTTATCATATCTATTAGCTTGTACGATTTTTCCCATTGGTCTGTCAGGCACAGACTGTAAATGCAGCGCTCGGCCGTGGTCGCGTCCAGGCACGGATACTTCTCCATCAGGCCGTCGCAGATGGCTACGATCTCCCGCTTTTCCGCGTCCGTCAGCTGGTCGCGCTTCAGGACGAAGAGTTGCAGATACTTGCCGATGATCGCCACGTTCAGTGGGTAATCGTGCTCTTTGAGAAACTGGAAGTATTGTATTGCTTTGTCTATGCGCGATTCAAGGAGGCATAAGTCCATGATGACGCTGTCGATCGTCGTGGCTGTCACCGGAGGATTCTGAAGGATGCCCTCGCGTATGTCTTGCCAATCCTTGCTCGACAGGTCTTCCTTCATAATTTTGTCGTACAAGTCTGAACATTTTTGGCTGATATATTTTACGGAAACTGTCTTATATTTCCTAAAGCTTGATTTCAATTGTGCCTCTTCAGTGTTAGACTCCAATATTTCATTGTTTAATTTCACACAAAATGTTCTTTTCTGATACTTGTAGCTCCAGGACCACAGAGGCTGGCACAACCTGCGACACATTGCCATTTGCAACGTATATTCACCTGAAATCTAGTTAAAGTCTATTTTATGATATATATATATATATATATATATATATATATATATATATATATATATATATATATA